TTCTCTCCAGAGTGAATTCTTTGATGTCTGGAAAGGTTTGAGTAATGGTTAAAGGCTTTGCCACATTCTTGACATTTGTAGGGTTTCTCTCCAGAATGAATTCTTTGATGTCTAGAGAGGAGTGAGTCCTGGTTAAAGGCTTTGCCACATTCTTCACAGTTGTATGGTTTTCCCAGATAATGGATTTTTTGATGTCTAGAACCACTTGAGTACTGTATATAGGCTTTGCCACAGTGTTGACTTTTGTACGGTTTCTGTCCAGAATGAATTATTTTATGGCCATAAATATGTGAGTCCTGCTGGATAATTTTGTCACATTTGTTATAGTTGTAGAGTGTTTCTCCAGTATCAAGAATCTTATGGTTACAATACTTTGTATTGTGTCCAAGACATTTGTCATCATTTTTACACTTGTTGAGATTCTCTCCATTATGGAGTCTTGAGCAAGATTGGAAGACTTGGCTACCTTCTTTGCATCTGTACTGTTTTTCTCCAATATGAATTATCTTATGATCTGTGAAGGGTGACCAGAGGTTAGAACTGTTCCCATACCTTTTACATTTAAAAGTGTTCTCTAAGTTATAACACTATATGTCTATTTAGATTTGACCATTGTCTGAAGACATTCAAACATTTACTACATTGGAAAACTTTGCCATGGGTAGCTGTTAAACATTGGTCACGTTGGGCAGTGCCTGTGGGTAAGTGGGTAGGGTGCCAGCCCTATATACCATGGGTAGTGGGTTTGAACCCAGCCCCAGCCAAACTGTAACAAAAAATAGCTGGGCATTGTGGTGGGCGACTGTAGTCCCAGGTACTCGGGAGGCTAAGGCAAGAAAATAGCCCACGCCCAGGAGTTAGAGATTGTTGTGATCTGTGATGCCATGGCATTCTACCCAGGGCGATAAAGTGAGACTCTGTCTCCTAAAAAAAAAATACATTGGTCAACTCCACTGTAATATAGTTTCTCCTGCTCACATTCATACACACCTTCCCAGTCGTTTGTTAAGTTTAAATTCTCAAGGCCACAACGTTGTTATCTGCTCAGAATCATCTCTGGGAATAAAATATTTGTGCCCAGGTCTTGAAAATGGTCTTTGGTAGAATGATTACATAGAATTGAAAGAAATTTAAACAATAATAATTTTAGCCACTTGCTTTTTATCAGAATCCAGTAAATATACACTACACATTATATCTGTAAAATCATGTCAAGAACATTAGAAAGATGCCATAATACAGTGGAGAGGCACCAATTATCTTAAAGATAAATAAATGTTGCATGTATACACTGCATTTGGGGGAATTCTCAAAATCAGGTAAGAATTTGTAGCACATCAGGTAAGCAGAAATTGTAGAAGTAAAGTACAGCCTGGCCGTTGGCTCATGTTTTTAATCCTACAACTCTGGGAGACTGAGGTCAATGGATCACTTGAGCACAAGTGTTTGAGATGAACCTGAGCAAGAGTGAGAGCCCATCTCTACATCAAATATAAAAATTAGTCTGGTACAGTGGCACATGCCCCTAGTCCCAGCAACTCATGAGGCTGACTGGGGTAAGAAGATCTCTTGCACCCAGAAGAAGTGCTGTGAGGTATGACAACACAGCACTCTTCACAGGGTGACAATTACTCAGCATGAAATAAATAAATAAATGAATGAATAAATACATAAATATATGTGTGTGCATATATACATATTTATAAAATAAAAGGAAAAATCATCAATAATAATATAAATGATAGAGCCAAATAGAACAAAAAAGAAAAGTTTGACATATGCACCCCCACTACAGAATGGATGCCACCCCAATACAGAATGGGGAAAATGTAAGTAAACTTCCAAATCCCAGCTTTGCCCTCAAAATAAAAAGCGTGACACTTGTGTTAATCTTTATTGCTTTTGAGGGTGTTTCCAAAAAAAGGCTGCTGTCTCCCATCAGTGAGAGTGATGAAAGGAATGGTGCTATAGTGTGTAAGACAGATTAGGGGTGCTGAATTCAAAGGCAAAATATTATTATAGCAGCAGAGATATTCCAATGTAATAGAGAGATTCAAGTCTAGCAAGTGATAAGAAAATCTTTTTTTTTTTTTTTTTTTTAGCTGGCTGGAGCAGGTTCAAACCCATCACCCTTGGTGTATGTGGTCTGTGCTCTATCCACTGAGGTATGGGTGCCGCCAATTATAAGACACTCTTAAGAAGACATGTGGAAAAATGCTTCCACTAGAAAGTGACCCCACATTTCCACAGACAAAACATTTTCTGATGGTACAGTTCTCCATTTCTTAGTACATTGTGTGTCAGAGTCTTGTAGGATATAGCCATATCACAAAGTTTGTGAAAGGTGGCTTTTCTAAACCTCAAAAATCAATGAAAGCTTATAATATATACAACATATTAGGGGAATATAACCCAAAGAGCAAAAAAAAAAAAAAAAGAAACTGGAATTTTTTGGAATTAACCACAAATTTCATAAATCTGAAATTAACCATAAAAAATAGAGATGTCTAAATTACCTGACAACGTTATCTGAAGAGTGCTAACTGCACCAAATAGGAATGATACAGACAACTAAGTAAAATCAGAAAAATGAAGGTATCAAACACAGTGAAAATGATCCAGCAGTCTCAAATGGAAGAAAAAAAGCATAAAGTATAAAGAAACCTCAGGGCTCGGCACCTATAGCTCAACCGGCTAAGGCGCCAGCCACGTACACCTAAGGTGGCAGGTTCGAATCCCCAGCCCAGACCCGCCAAACAACAATGATGGCTGCAACCAAAAAATAGCCGGGCGTTGTGGCGGGCGCCTGTGGTCCCAGCTACTTGGGAGGCGGAGGCAGGAGACTCACTTGAGCTCAGGAGTTGGGAGGTTGCTGTGAGCTGTAATGCCACGGCACTCTACCCAGGGGGACAGCTTGAGGCTCTGTCTCAAAAAAAAAAAAAAAAAAAGAAACCTCAGGATACTTCAGCTAGGAGAAACAAAGACTTCCATAAAAAGACACATGAAGATCAAGGATTTGAAAGTCACGCACAAAGGTGGTGCCTGTGGTGCACCTACCGCCTCTGTAGGTAGGGTGCCGGCCCCATATACCGAGGGTGGCAGGTTCGAACCCAGCCCCAACCAAACTGCAACAAAAAATAGCCAGGCATTGTGGTGGGCGCCTTTAGTCCTAGCTACTCAGGAGGCTGAGGCAAGTGAATTAATTGCCTATGCCCAAGAGCTGGAGGTTGCTGTGAGCTGTGATGCCAAAGTACTGTACTGAGGGCAACAAAGTGAGACTTTGTCTCTAAAAAAAAAATAATAATAATAATGAAAGTCATGCATAAGAAGACAATCTTGAAAGCAGCAAGAGAAAATAGATATGTTACTGATAAGGATGCTCTGTCAGATTACTAGTGGATTAATCAACACGAACCTTCCACATCAAGAAGGAGTTGGTGATATAGTCAAATGCCAAAAGAAGAAAAACTTGAACGCACATACACGATATCCACCAAAATTGCCCTTCTAAATGAAGAAAGAAGAAATATTTATCAAGATATATAGATGCTGGCAGGGCAAGGAGGCTCACGTCTGTAATCCTAGAACTCTGGAAGGCCAATGCAGGTGGATTGCTAGAACTTACAGGTTTGAGACCAGCCTGAAGAAAAGCGAGACACCATCACTACTAAAAATAGAAGATCTGAGGCAAGAGGATCACTTGAGCACAAGAGTTTGATGTTGCTGTGAGCTATGACACCATGTCACAATACACAGGGTTACAGAGTGAGACTCTGTCTCAAAAAAAAAAAAAAATGAAAAGAGAAGTCGACAGTAAACTTCTGGTTATGGGTCTACATGTACAATATAACAAGATGTAATTTTTGACATCAATAACAAAATCTAGTATAAACGTAAAAAGAAATTGTCAACAGTAAGTCCTTCTCTTTCAAAAGTTATATAAATAATTCACAGTAATTTCCTCTCTTTCAAAAATTATGTACACAAGGCTAGGCGGGGGTGGCTCATGGGTGAAATCCAAGCACTCTTACAGGCTATGGCGGGTAGATTGCTTGAGCCCCTGAGTTCCAAATTAGCCTGAGTAAAAGCGAGACCCTGTCTCTACTAAAACTAGGCAAGAAGATTGCTTGAAACTAAGAGTTGATTGAAGGTTGCCCTGAGTGATGATGATACTATGGCACTCTACTAAGGGTGATAGCTTGGGACTCAGTCTCAAAAAAAAAAAAAAACAAAAAAACTACATACACATTCACAGACTAAACTTCACAATGAAATAACAGACATTAAATAAAGATAGCATGGCCAGGCACGGTGTTTCACGTCTTCAATCCCAGGACTCTTGAAGTCCGAGGTGGGTGGATTGCTTGAGCTGTCAGGTTCAAGACCAGCCTGAGCAAGAAAGAGACTCTGTCTATAAAAAAAAAGCTGGGCGTTGTGACCAAGCACCTGCAGTGCGAGCAACTCCAGAGGCTGAGGCAAGAGGATCATTGCAGTCTAGGACTTTGAGGTTGCTTTGAGCTTTGATGCCATGGCAGTGAACTGGGGGGAACAAAGTGAGACTCTGTCTCAGAAAAAATAAATAAATAAAATAAAATAAAACAAAAGGAGTAAAGATAGGGATTTAAAAAATATAAAATCAAAATCCAACTCTACTATTAAATGATACTCAACTTACATGTAATGACAAACATGGAATAAAAAATGGCAGGACAGAAAGATATATGGCCGGGTGCAGTGGCTCATGCCTGTAATCCTAGCACTCTGGGAGGCCGAGGCAGGTGCACAGTTTAATGTCATTGGTGTGAGACCCTTTTTCTACTAAGAATAGAAAAACTGAGGCATGAGAATCTTGAGACCAAAAGTTGGAAGTTGCTGTGAGGTATGATGCCACGGCACTCTACCCAGAGCGACATCTTCAGACTCTGTCTCAAAAAAAGAAAAAAAAAAAAAAAGAACAAAAAATATATTTAATTCAAATATTAATAAAATGAGAGCAAGGGAGATTATCATAAGGAGATATACATATGTATATAAATGTGTCTGTGTGTATATATACAAACACGTGTTAAAACAGAGTTTCACCCTATGGCCCAGGCTAGAGTGCTACAGGATCAGCCTTGCTCACAGCAACATGAAACTCCTAGATTCAAGCAATCCTCCTGAAGCAGGCTTCTGACTAGCTGGCACTACAGGTGCCTGCAATGACATTCAGGTAATTTTTATCTTCTTTTTCTAGTAGAGATGGGGTGTTGCTCTTGTTCTAGCTTGTCTCCAACTCCTGAGCTTAAGACATCCTCTCATCTTAGCCTCCCAGACTGCTAGCATTATAGACATATGCTCCTGAGCCCAGGCAGAGCACAATATATTTTGAGGCAAAACATGTCTTAATTTGCAAAATATACTTTAAATCAAAATGGCCACAAAAGGTAAAAAATACAAAATATAAGGGCTTATTTGTTAGAAACCTGTAACTCGGCTCAGCGCCTGTGGCTCAAGTGGCTAAGGTGCCAGCCA